GTTAGAACACAGCAAGAGAGTGAAGCTGATCGAACACTGTAAGAGAGTGACGTTGTTCGAAAACAGCAAGGGAGTGAATCTGTTCGAACACAGCAAGAGAGTGGAGCTGTTCGAACACAGCAAGAGAGTGAATCTGTTAGAACACAGCAAGAGAGTGAAGCTGATCGAACACTGTAAGAGAGTGACGTTGTTCGAAAACAGCAAGGGAGTGGAGCTGTTCGAACACAGCAAGAGAGTGAAGCTGTTCGAAAACAGCAAGGGAGTGGAGCTGTTCGAACATAGCAAGAGCTGGGAACAAGTTCGAACGTAATCAGTTTGCCACTCACAAAAAATGAGTTTCGTGTCGGGATCATCGCGAATTTGGCTTTTATTGACGAGGACTGAACACGGCGAACAGCAGAGTTGTTAATATGAACAGCTGGGGTGAAGAACCAGAGACACGCATATGAACAGGAGACGCAAATACCCAACAGAGACGCAAATAAGCAACAGAGACGCAAATAAGCAACAGAGACGCAAATAAGCAACAGAGACGCAAATAAGCAACAGAGACGCAAATAATCAACAAAGACGGAAATAAGTAACAGAGACGCAAATAAGCAACAGAGACGCAAATAAGCAACAGAGAGGCAAATAACCAACAGAGACGGAAATAAGTAACAGAGACGCAAATAAGCAACAGAGTCACAAATAAGCAACAGAGACGGAAATAAGCAACAGAGACACAAATAAGCAACAGAGACGCAAATAACCAACAGAGACGCAAATAACCAACAGAGACGCAAATAACCAACAGAGACGTAAATAACCAACAGAGACGCAAATAACCAACAGAGACACAAATAAGCAACAGAGACGCATATGAACAAGAGACGCAAATACCCAACAGAGACGCAAATAAGCAACAGAGACGGAAATAAGCAACAGAGACGCAAATAAGCAACAGAGACGCAAATAACCAACAGAGACGCAAATATGCAACAGAGACGCAAATAACCAACAGAGACGGAAATAAGTAACAGAGACGCAAATAACCAACAGAGACGGAAATAAGCAACAGACACGCAAAAAACCAACAGAGACACAAATAACCAACAGAGACGCAAATAAGCAACAGAGACGCAAATAACCAACAGAGACGGAAATAAGTAACAGAGACGCAAATAACCAACAGAGACGGAAATAAGCAACAGAGACGCAAAAAACCAACAGAGACGCAAATAACCAACAGAGACGGAAATAAGCAACAGAGACGCAAAAAACCAACAGAGACGCAAATAACCAACAGAGACGGAAATAAGTAACAGAGACGCAAATAAGCAACAGAGACGCAAAAAACCAACAGAGACACAAATAACCAACAGAGACGGAAATAAGCAACAGAGACGCAAATAAGCAACAGAGACGCAAATAACCAACAGAGACGCAAATAAGCAACAGAGACGCAAATAACCAACAGAGACGCAAATAACCAACAGAGACACAAATAACCAACAGAGTCACAAATAAGCAACAGAGACACAAATAAGCAACAGAGATACAAATAAGCAACAGGGACGCAAATAACCAACAGACACGCAAATAACCAACAGAGACGGAAATAAGTAACAGAGACGCAAATAAGCAACAGAGACGTAAATAACCAACAGAGACGCAAATAACCAACAGAGACGGATATAAGTAACAGAGACGCAAATAACCAACAGAGACGGAAATAAGTAACAGAGACGCAAATAAGCAACAGAGACGCAAATAACCAACAGAGACACAAATAACCAACAGAGTCGGAAATAAGTAACAGAGACGCAAATAACCAACAGAGTCACAAATAAGCAACAGAGACACAAATAAGCAACAGAGATACAAATAAGCAACAGGGACGCAAATAACCAACAGAGTCACAAATAAGCAACAGAGACACAAATAAGCAACAGAGATACAAATAAGCAACAGAGACGCAAATAAGCAACAGAGACGCAAATAAGCAACAGAGTCACAAATAAGCAACAGAGACACAAATAAGCAACAGAGATACAAATAACCAACAGACACGCAAATAACCAACAGAGACGCAAATAGCCCACAGAGACGCTTCGGAAACCCTACAAGGATATGAGTTATTAACTCAATCAACTAATGGCTAGACAGGTGGGGACCAGGAGCTTTGACTCAACCCTGCATATATATAATTTATATATATGCAGTATAATTTAACCACACACACACACACACACACACACACACACACACACACACACACACACACACACACACACACACACACACACACACACACACACACACACACACACACACTGTCCCTAACCTGCCTACCATGCAAGCTGATTGAGAAGATTGTGCGAAGAAAGCTTGTGGAGCACCTGGAGCGAAAGAACTTCAACAACTTCAACAAAGTAACACAGCATCAACATGGATTCAGGGATGGCAGGTCCTGCCTCACAGAGTTACTTGAATTCTACGACCAGGCAACAAAAATAGGGCAAGAAAGAGAAGGGTGGGCAGACTGCATATTTTTGGATTGTCAGAAAGCCTTTAATACAGTGCCACACAAGAGGCTAGTGAAAAAGTTGGAGATGCAGGCTGGAGTGAAAGAGAAGGTACTCCGTTCGATACAGGAGTACCTAAGCAACAGGAGACAACGAGTCAGTGTGAAGGGTGAGGTCTCAGATTGGAGAGACGTTACGAGTGGAGTCCCGTAGGGGTCAGTCCTTGGACCTATACTGTTTCTGATATATGTAAATGATCTCCCAGAGGGTATTGAATCGTTTCTCTCAATGTTTGCTGATGATGCAAAAATTATGAGGAGGATTGAAACTGAGGACGATAGTAGGAGGCTACAAGATGACCTAGACAGACTGAGTGAATGGTCAAAGAAATGGCTGTTGAAGTTACACCCGAGTAAATGCAAAGTAATGAAACTAGGTGGTGGAAATAGGAGGCCAAACACAGGATACAGAATAGGAGATGAAGTACTTAATGAAACGAACAGAGAGAAAGATCTAGGAGTTGATATCACACCAAACTTGTCTCCTGAAGCCCACATAAAAAGAATAACGTCTGCGGCATATGCGAGGCTTGCTAACATTAGAACAGCGTTCAGGAACCTGTGTAAGGAATCATTCAGAATCTTGTACACCACATATGTAAGACCAATCCTGGAGTATGCGGCCCCAGCATGGAGCCCGTACCTTGTCAAGCACAAGACGAAGCTGGAAAAAGTCCAAAGGTATGCCACTAGACTAGTCCCAGAACTAAGAGGCATGAGTTACGAGGAAAGGCTGCGGGAAATGCACCTTACGACACTGGAAGACAAAAGAGTAAGGGGAGACATGATCACAACCTACAAAATCCTCAGGGGAATCGACCGGGTAAACAAGGATAAACTATTCAACACTGGTGGAACGCGAACAAGGGACCTCAGGTGGAAACTGAGTACCCACATGAGCCACAGGGATGTTAGAAGGAACTTTTTCAGTGTCAGAGTAGTTAACGGATGGAATGCATTAGGCAGTGATGTGGTGGAGGCTGACTCCATACACAGTTTTAAATGTAGATATGATAGAGCCCCGTAGGCTAAGGATTCTGTACACCAGTTGATTGACAGTTGAGAGGCGGGACCAAAGAGCCAAAGCTCTACCCCCGCAAGCACAAATAGGTGAGTACAAATAGGTGAGTACACACACACACACAAACACAAAACACACACACACACACACACACACACACACACACACACACACACACACACACACACACACACACACACACACACACACACACACACACACACAACACACACACACACACACACACAAACACAAACACACACACACACACAAACACACACACACACACACACACACACACACACCACACACACACACACACACACACACACACACACACACACACACACACACAAACACAAACACCCCCCCAAAGCACAAACACACACACAACACACACACACACACACACACACACACACACACACACACACACAAACACACACACACACACACACACACACACACACACACACACACACACACACACACACACACACACACACACACACACACACACACACACACACACACACACACATTAGACACGTGGTAATCGGAATAGCGGGGCCCAAGAGCTGAAGTACTGTCCTCCAATCTCTCTGCACATGTAAATATAAATATGTTCATCTTCCTCAACACCTGCATACCTGGAGTGGCCAACACCTGCCAGCGACCTCACACACATGTTTCCCCAACATACCTGGAGTAGTAAACACCTGCCAGTGACCACACACATGTTCCCCAACATACCTAGAGTAGTAAACACCTGCCAGTGACCACACACATGTTCCCCAACATACCTGGAGTGGCCAACACCTGCCAGCGACCTCACACACATGTTTCCCCAACATACCTGGAGTAGTAAACACCTGCCAGTGACCACACACATGTTTCCCCAACATACCTGGAGTAGTAAACACCTGCCAGTGACCACACACATGTTCCCCAACATACCTGGAGTGGCCAACACCTGCCAGCGACCACACACACCCAACATACCTGGAGTGGCCAACACCTGCCAGCGACCACACACACACAACATACCTGGAGTGGCCAACACCTGCCACCGACCACACACACACAACATACCTGGTGTGGCCAACGCCTGCCAGCGACCACACACACACACACAACATACCTGGAGTGGCCAACTCCTGCCAGCGACCACACACACCCAACATACCAGGAGTGGCCAACACCTGCCAGCGACCACACACACCCAACATACCTGGAGTAGTAAACACCTGCCAGCGACCACACACACACCCAACATACCTGGAGTGGCCAACACCTGCCAGCGACCACACACACCCAACATACTTGGAGTGGCCAACACCTGCCAGCGACCACACACACCCAACATACCTGGAGTAGCCAACACCTGCCAGCGACCACACACACCCAACATACCTGGAGTGGTAAACACCTGCTCGCCAGAGAGCCGCTGGGAGGTGATGGAGTTGTTGAAGACCCAGGAGTACTTGACGGCGCCTGGAGACGCCAGCACCTCGCACGACACGTTGATGAACTGGCCCAGTCCCGTGGCGTACACTCTGCTGGGCCCGGTCACTTCCTGGCACACCGGCGCGTCTGTGGGGCGGTAACACCGACACTGGTTATGTTGCAGTGGAGATATGAGACAGACTAAGAGCTGGGATATGAGACTAAGAGCTGGGATATGAGACAGACTAAGAGCTGGGATATGAGACAGACTAAGAGCTGGGAT